GCAAAAAAAGATCAAGTATGGTTATACATACCTGAAAGTAGCAAGTATATGAGAGAAGTATGAATTTTTAATAATGGCTGTGGGATTCTACTCGATGTGCCTGATCTGGCCGTGAACAGTCTGTCACAAAAATCACACCATTTTAAAACTTCCTGCTCCACTCATACACTTAGGGGACTGACAGGCATACATCACCATACTGGAGCATACATCACCATACTGGATAGTCTGAAAACCTCAACACACCCTTCAGCAAATAAAAAAAATTTTTTTTTTTTTAATCCTGATATTGAGAAAAAGACACACCCATAGTGAAGAATGAGGTGACAGTTGTTAATTTTTCTTTTTCTCCCTCTTTATTTTTTTATCTTCTTCAGCATTGCAAGACCTCGAGCTTCATTGCTATAAATGTCACTCACCTCCGTTCATATTTGTGATTCTAATAAACATTAAGTAGGCAATATCTAAACTTGTGAATGTAGAACTAGATTTACACAACAGTAAATACAATAGAAAGTGAAGTTAGAAAAATTGTCTTGCAGAGAAAAACTTGTTAGTTTTCTAATAAACTTTTTGAAGTATATGTCTTCTGAGTTGAGCCAAGAACTGGCATCACTGCACTCATGACATTCTCATAAGCACTCCATCCTCATCTTCAGTAGCCAGTGATGTGTTCCAATTCTGAAAGTGTCAGTAACAGTCTGATAATCTTCTTCTTCGCATTCATCAGCTGTAAACTCTAGGGGAAAGTTCTAGCTGTTCGTCTGCTTCTGGACTGCAGTCCTGTTCCAGAACCCGAGAGTTGTGTGTGCATCCGTTTGATAGATCTGACTAATCTGTATGCAGACTGTTGGTTCCTTACCTCTCAGGCAGATGCACTCTGACTTCGAAGAAAGCTCCCAATTAGTCAACTCTTATGACATGCTTTTGGGAAGGCAGTGGGTCTATTCTTGTTTTCCATATAATAGGGCCCCAGAACCCACACGGGGAAGTCTGATAATACTTTTGTCTTGCCTTTCCTCTGAGTGTGGAGTGTTGACCGGACTCCCTAGTCCTTCCCCGCTATAGCATTCTTTTCAGACCATAGTGATCTATTTCTGCCTCTGCATTTTTCACACTTGCTACCAAAGAGCATTGACCACATCTAGCTTGGCATGCATCAGTTAACTGCCCACTGGTTCAGAACCAGCCAGCCAGTCTGTCTGTTCATTTCCTAACAAACCTGCATTTCCTGGGCAAAATATCCAACAGATGCTAACTACCCAGGTCATGTCTTTGAGGTATTATAATTTATTAATGCTGTGTGATTTAATCCATACCCAGCTCCGTGGTATGTTACATTACTGACTGTCGTCTATATTTCAGAATTCAAGAAGAAGTGCGGCTCAGCCGGTAAGTAATGTTCTAGTCCATGCTATGTGGCATTGGTAGTCATAAATATCCATAACTTTCTGTCTCATGTCCTTTCAGTCAAAGCTAACACAGATGATCTTCCATGCCAAGATGTTAGGCTGTCCAGCATCTTCTTCCTCTGCCTCTTTTCCCCTCCAGCTTCCACATAGTTTTGTACTAATCACCCAGTTGTCCATGTTGCAGAGGCCATGGTTGACTCCGATATGGTCTGCATCAATGATGGGAGGCAGACTAGAATGGCAATGAGGTCTGGAGATGCAGACACAGCCATTGACTTGACTTTTGTCTCTCGGTCGTCGGTTTTAGATGTTAAATGGACTGTCCTGAATGACCATGGGAGTGATCACCTACCATGTTCAGTCTTGATTTCTAAAATCAGTAAGGTTAAGGTTGGGAGAGCATGCAAGACCTTCCAGTATAAGTGGACCAACAACCTATTTGGACGCCTCAGACGGGGAGCATGCAAAAAAACTGCCAGAACTAATTTTCTACAGCCCCCATGGTGGACTCCAGAAGTAGAACAGACATGGAAGGCAAAGAGAGCCGCAGTGAAGCAGCTAAAGAAAGTACAACAGACACCCTCAAGCTCACGAGAGGAAGTGGAGATGGCAAAGAATGTGAAAAAAGATAAGGTGGAGGTTTTCAAGCGCTGCGCTGCAGAGGCCAAAAGAGCAAAGTGGGAAACTTTTGTGAATGACATGGGAGTCGATAAAACATTGGGGAAATTCTGGAAACTGCAAAGGCAGATGCAAAGAAAAGATCGGCCTATGACAGTGGGAACAATTTGTAGATACGATGGTGTGCGTATGAGAACAGACAAGGAGAAAGGGGAGGCTTTTCTCCATAGGTTTATAGCTCAGACAGATCATAATGGTGTAGACATCAGGGATGCAGTTAGAAAGGAGTTAGCTGGCACCTTGAAGAATATGCATTATGAAGAGATGATACAAGTGGAAGATATCAAGCAAATTTGGAAAAAAGCAAGACACTGCACCAGGGCCTGATGGTGTCAGGTATAGTCACATGAAGGCTTTGAGCGATGTAGACCTGGCAGAGATGGCCGACTGTTTTAACCAGAGTATTAAGACAGCATCAGTACCGCAAGACTGGGTGCACAGCTATCTAATCCCACTACCAAAACCTTTTAAAGATCATTCTAAGCTCATTGGCTTTAGAATCATCACCTTTCAAAACACATTTGGGTAGGTCTCGGAGAAGATTGTTGCTGTAAAGTTGCAAGAATTTTTGGAAAGGGGGAAGCTTCTCCCAACAGGTCTGGGAAGTTACAGGCCAGGAAAGGACACTTGGGCAAATGTGGCCACTTTTGCTTTTGACGTCTATGGAGGGTTCCAGAACAGACAGGACTGGATCTCGAGGATGCTTATAACAGAGTGAGATACGACATCTTAATGACTGCACTGAGGGAGAAGGAGGTCAATCCATGGCTGGTGAATTGGGTTGCAGCTGTCCTGTATTCATGTCGGGTTGCTCTCTGACTGGGCTCATGGACCTCTGAACCTTGCACTTTGGCCCCAGGACTGCCACAGGGATCCGCCATCTCGCCTGTGCTCTTTAACGAGTATACAAGCAAGATTGCAAGCCTAGAAGCACCAGGAGTTGGAAGGATACTGACTTTTGCGGATGATATAATTGCATATAGGCAGGGGGAAGAGAGGTAACAAACAGCTCGGGAGCTACAAGCGACAGTAGACAAAGTGACTAAGTGGTGTACAGAAATGAAGGCTGTCGTCCACCCAGAAAAAACGTCTGTTTTGTGGTGTTCTCTGGACAACAGAATCGTTAAAACTAATGTCCTAAGTCTCACGATAGATGGTAGAGATGTCAACAGAGAGAGCAAACTGAAGTATCTGGGAATTACATTTGACAGGAGCCTGTCATTTAAGGACCATGTGGAGAGTGTTGTGACGAGATGCTAAAAAGGACTTAGTGCATTTAAGACTATGGCTGCAATTGACATAGAGCAGAGAATGCTTTTCACACTATATCAGCACCTGATCCTGTCAGTGGTGGATTATGGCCTGGGACTGCTTACCGTCTCAAAGAGTCAGATGGACAAACTAGAGCGCATACAGAACGCGGCTATGCGGGTCATTCTGGGTTGCACCAGAGACACCCCAGTGGTGTGTATGCGATACATCCTTGGTTTGCTGACGGTTGCAGGTAGGCACAAGGTGATGCAGGCGAAGTCATATCTCAGGGTAGTTGCAGACACAGACCACCCTCTGCATGAAGCTCTGGGTGCAGTTAAGGGTCAGCGGCTGATAAGAGGGAGGTCATGGATGGCTCAGGCAGAAGACACAATCAGACAGGTTTGCATCCTTGAGAACATTAGACGAGGAGAGGAGTGGGTCAAAGTGCCACCTGAGCAGTCAGACTTGTGTAGAGTCATAATCACGCTGAGCCGGGAATGCAGAGACTGGCCAGCAGGTGTCACAGAGGTGGAAATTCAGCAATTAATTCAAGATAATGCTCGCTCAGAGGATTTGATCATTTACACAGACAGTTCAGTGTCAAGAGGCAAAAAAGTGCTTGGGGCTTTTTAGCAAAAGTTAATGGTCGACGTTTGGTGCAGGAGAGCCTAGCATATGATACCACAACATCCAGCTTAAGAGTGGAGGCGGTCAGTGCAGCTTTCCGCTGGCTAGAGAACACGACACACACACACATTGTAATTGTAACTGATTCAGAAAGCATGCTGAGGAAGATCAGAACAGGTATGCTTCGTGCAGAGTGGCATGCTTCGCTGCCGAGGACACGAGTGAGGAGTATTGTCTGGATTTTTTCACCGGGTTACGCCGGTGTGTTGAGAAATAATCAGTGAGAAGGTAAAGGTTCACTGTACGTGGCTTATAGTAATTCAGAAATTAGTACGGCTGTGATAATTTAAACATTATAACTCCTAAACACACTTGGAATGAAAAGATAATTGTTGAATAAGATGAAAGTTTGTGTAAAATATCAGATTGCTAACCATAATATAACATATGCTGGAAGAAGTTTGAAGAAAACTGTGAAGGAAGATAACAGAATAAATGAGAGCTGGGAAGGGAACAAAGGAGAATCTAAGATTTTCATGGCCTCATCGTCATAATAATAGCCTATTTGCTACAATAATATTTAATGTATGAATATTTAGTACCTCTTTAGCATTCGTCATCATTACATTGTTGTGTTGTTTAGATGTTACATTTGGTTTTCAGTAGATTCCTCTTATCTGTCAATCCCCTGGAATCTTTTTGATATCTTATATGGCATCCATTCCATCACATCTAGCCTCCCTCATCATTATTTGTTGTATGGTTTTCTTTTTGTTTCCAATTTCACTGCCTGATCTGCGTTTCTATCTCTCAGAATACATCTAATGTATGGCTATCATGTTTCTGTTATAACCATTGATACTAGTGGTCATCTGACATTTTTAACATTGCTTCTGTTTAAAATTATGATTCAGTTCTGCTAATGGAATTCATCATTCTTTCTTTGTACTGTAACCCGATCATCTTTCTAGTTGTTCTGTAGCACTTTTGTGTTTGTGTTCCTCATTTTGTGAGTACATTTTATTGCAGGTACGTCTGAGCCCTGATGATGCAGAAGAGGAGCCTTTACCTGCTGGTTGGGCTATTGGTATTGCTCCAAATGGAAGAACGTTTTACATCGATCACAACACAAAGAAAACTAGCTGGGTGAGAACTGCTATTTTTTCTTAACCACCAGTATATTTGCCAAAATGATGGCATTTGTCTGTGTAATATTTGAAACGATAAAAGAGTAAACTGCTGCTTGCTGAACCCTTGAGCAATCTTTGAACATGCACAGTTTGTAGTCTTTGGTCGGCTTCTTTTTCGTCTTCTTTTTGCTTTGTGATTGGTTTCATACGTCATTTTTATCAGTTATGTTGCCTCCATAAACCCACACATCGGTATGTCTCCAAGGACACCCAGAAGCTTGTCCTGGATGCCTCTTCCCTCTGGTCAAGTGTTTTCTTGCAGGCTTTCTGTAGGGGACAATTCTGAGGCGTTTAGAATGCGATGTGGCAGGAACACTGGGCAGATTTTGCAGCTTTCATTCTGTACAGGTGTGCGGTCTTAGGCAGAAAAGAATTATGGTGTGCTGCCTTCCGATTTGTCTCTTTATTGGGTCACCTGGATCTTTTTCTGATTGTTCTCTGTCTTCGGGAATTCCTGCATTTCTTCTTCATCAGCTCTTGATGTGCTATAGGATGGAGTTTGTTTTCCCAGTATTCCCTCTTTGGCCAGTGTATCTGCTATCTCAATTTCTGATATGCCACATCATGGTGCTGCATTATGTTGGATATGTAGTTGATTCTCATGTTTTTTTTAATATATCTTCTTTTAAAATACTGGTTTCAAGAATGTGTCATATGAGATATAAAAAAAAAAGCCCCAATACATTTGAGATTGTAGCAGTCCTCCACATGTGAGATGCAATTTTTCGTTATTTTTAGCAACACCTTAGCTTTTGCAGGCGCCCTGAATATAGCCGGGCCATAGATATAGCCTAACAGCTGAAAGGGATTTCTGGGACCTCTACATTTGTTACTAGTGATAAATCTTCTTTAAGATAGTTTTTTTAACTGTTTTAGAATATGAAACAGCAGATCCCTGTTGTTAAAGTGGCTTTTAAGCAGATGAATATCGAGAAAGCTGTCCAGCAGTGGGCTGTAAAATATTCTAAACTCAAGTTAAGGAAGCTAACCAGAAATGTAATGTGCTGTATGAAAATCAGAAAAACATTTACTGTCATAAATTAGGAAGATACACAAACTTGGTATATGAAAATCATAAATCAGGTCACCCCAGACAAAAGGACATTCCTTAGGCTCAAATTCGTCTTATTTTGTAATAGATCTTATCTTATAGGCTGGTCTTTAAACCCATTCTATCACTTATGGATGAGAATGTAGAACTCGCAACAATATAAGTAGTTTTTTAGCGTGGATTACTCTGAAAATATTATATTCAGTGCTAGCATTTAAATGCAAAAAGCGCAAATGATACAGAGCTGACATTTTATCAGAGTTAAGTTAGTTGCATATCCTTTACAGGACTTTACTGAACCAACCCCAGTGTTTTTTTTTGGGCTGTTGAGGTTTTTCTAGGAAGATTGTACAATCAGTATTTTGCCATTGCCTCTGAATAGTCGGCTCTAGTTACCACTGTCAAAACCAATGCAAAACGGTCTGTTGCCAAACCGTCTGCAGCTGGGATTGAACCCAGGACCTTGGCATTGTGAAGTATGTTCGCAGTGCCAAAGCCACATACACCAACATCAGAGTGAGACCCCTACTTTTACCATTGACTTTACACTTTCTGCTTGCACATTTGACTGCAGTTTTGAATGTTCATTCTTGATTATTGATATTTCAGGAGGATCCTAGAAAAACTGCACTTCATAGAGGTGGTTCACTACGTGGTCACGAATCTCCTAGTCCGTTGTTTAGATCAAATTCCTCCGATGACCTTCTTCACAACCTGGGTCCATTACCGGTGAGAAATCAGTTTAATGTTATCTTGCATGTAGACAATAACATAATTAATTTTTTAATTTTGCTGATTACTTGGAGGGAAAAAACTAGTTACTCATATAATGAGGGTGCTGGTGTCTCACAGAGACTAATCGTCTCCGAAGGGGACATTCAGCCTTTAATTTGTGTGTGTGTGTGTGTGGGGGGGGGGAGGCTTAAATAAGATGATGAAGACAGATGGAAGTAGAGAAAAAAATAACGAAGAAGAATTTGTTTTTAAAACCTCTGATAAAGCACATATTGTTGGTATAACACCAAAATCACATAAGTGCAATTTTGGCGATTTTCACCAGTTCATTATCAGGGCTATTATTTATCACTTTACAACATATCAGTGGCACACCTGTGAATTTCTACCCCAAATAGGTCACCCAACTACACAGTTTTCATGTAATCTTTCAGAGATCTCAATGTTTAAACATGATTTTCCCGAAACAAGGATTTTCCATTTAGGTGTGGTGCCATTTATATGTATACGTGCATGCATGCATATCAGAGCATACAATAATGCCTTAATTACTTTGTTTTAGCCTGGCTGGGAAGAAAGAACTCACACTGATGGTAGAGTCTTCTTCATTGATCACAGTAAGTATGGACAAATATTCATGTTCTCCATTTCTTTCTATAGTTTATAACACTGTGTGTCATTGGGTCACCAAGTTATTGTTGACTGATTGATCAGAATTTTCCATTTCTGGTCACTGCGCTTGATGTTTTCGTATTGAGGCTTGTTCAAACTTCCAGATTTTGAATCCAGGTCTTTCTTGGCCTTCAATGTCCTCTGTTCCCATGTACTAGGCATGTTCCCAGTGTAGACTTTTAAGAAATTCTGCAGTTTTCTTCATTTATGACAGTAAGTCTGGACAGATTCATGCTCAGTGTAGAGAATTACTAAACATTTACTAATAAATTACAAGTGTTCATTTATTGATCCTGCACAGAATAAAATGACTACAGTGTTATTGACAGAATCCCTTCCTTTGAAATTGGAGACCATGTGTAGTAGTACTGTTGGGAGGACACAGAATATAAAGCTGCAGGTGTTGGGTTTAGCATGATTTGATTGAAGGTCTGCTCTATCGAGGAGTCTGCTCCATTGAGGAATAAAAGACATATAAAGAAGACAATATTTATTTAAAAAATAAATTAGGTAAAGTAAAAGGAATGTAATGGACGCATATTGGGTATATAGTGCTAGATCTATACTTTAGAGACCAATCAACATGCCTTGGCTGTGTGGTCAGCACCATGCTGGCCACTTTTACTTCCCAGGACTTTACCCCGGTGCCCATATTAGGTTGGGTCTGGTCTACCTTAGAGTCAAGGTCATTTTGGAAACAAAATCTGACAATGCAGATTTGAACCCATGACTTTCGGGCCTGCAGGCGACAGTTTAGCCGCTATCCCATGGTGTCTGCCTATAGTAAATTAATATTTTAAAAAAGATTAGTGATATTTACCTTGTGGGTTCCGAGGCCCCATTGTGGGGAAAAACAAGAATAGACCCAATGCCTTCCCAACAAGCATGTCATAGGAGTCGACTAACTGGGAGCATCCTTCAAAGTCAGAGTACATCTTCCATAGAGGCAAGGAACCAAAAGTCTGCATACAAATAAGCCAGGTCTGTGAAACGGATGGGCACGCAACACTTAGTTTCTGGAACAAGACCAAAGTCCAGACGTGGATGAACACCCAGAACTTTCCACAGGAGTTTACAGCTGGTGAAAGCTAAAGAGAATTATTATTATTTATTATTCAGGTCCTATGCAGAATGTCACTCCCAATCCGGGATGCTAAAAAGACTCTTGATCTTTTGCCACTCTTCCCGTGCTTTAGTATTTTCTTGCCAATGGTTTCTTCAGTGTCCTGTTCACCTTTTTGCTGGTTGACTCTTCTATTGTTTATTTTCTTCCTAGAACCATGCCTACCATTACTGATCTTTCTAAGAAACTGTGATAGTTAATGTAAACAATGTATATTAATTTCTGAGGCATGTTGCTGGTTTAGATTGTTTTCTTCATTGTTCTTTCTTTGCAGAATGTCATTTTTTTTCCCTTTTATTTGGTCCAAAATATTATAAGAATTTGATACTCTCTCAATATGCCCAAGCTATTTCAGTCTATTAGCTCTCATGATGCTAGTGATCAATGGCCATAATTAGCATTTTGAAATCATGTTTGTGATCATTTACAGATAATAAAACAACGCAGTGGGAAGATCCACGTCTGCAGAAAATTGGTGGGCCGGTAAGATAATGCTTCTTTCTAGTAACTTTCCAGTATTTGTTATTTTTACTGGTGCCTGCCAGAAAAGCTTGTAGAGTTCCCAGTATAAAAGGTTGATCTGTGGGGCAGTATTCACTCACTAACAGTGAACAAGCCAGCCAGGCTTTTCTAATTTTGTCACTCTAGTTCCAAAAAATGTATGTTTCTTGCTTTAGTTGTGTACACTGACAGACTTGTTTGTCTGTCTGTTTATGTTCTGCTGTATTTGCTGCCTACTTCATTTTTGTCTGGCTTTGACTTTTCCCTACAGAATAGTTTCTGTGAGTGTTTTTCTTTGTCTTTTTGGAATTTAGATCTTGAATTTTCAGACATATGAGGTCTTCTTCTTAGTGGCTTTCAGTTTTGCATGCTCACATCTGACCATCAAGTGGGCTGCCTCTGTGAACTCGCATGTCAGTTGCAGGAACTGCATGATTACCCATAGCTTGAACTCTTTTTGGGTGGCATCAAAATGGAGGCCCCCGTTTTGACTCCCAAATATATAGGGTTGTCTTTTTTGGAAGCATGAAGTGAGGGCAGTATCTCAACCTCTTGGTCACTTGCTTTACATGATCCAGAACCTTTTAATATGCATATAATTGATGGAATGATAAAGTTAAAGTCCAGAGGATTGACCTCATAGCATCATATTTTATCCCATTGAGCTCAGCCTCTATGCAGAACTGCTAGCTGCCAGCCGAGAGCATCAGATGAAGCTTGAACTCTGTAGCTTCAGTGATGATCCCCACAGGTCTCTGTAAAAATTTCACTTGTGAACTCATTGATGCGGCCTTGAAATGAACTCATGACATTCATTGTGCGAGGCAAACAACTTTGCCACAGAGACCTTAAATTATTAAAAGGTAGTCCTAAAGTAGACACACTAATTGGTGTAAAGTATTTCACATGTTGTTCACCATGATACAATGAGGCTTGGTAACTAGGAAATGAACTTTGACCATTGTCTCAAAAGGCATGCAAACTAAGCACTATTGTTTGGCATCTTTCGGTCTTCCCAGACAATAGTGTTGTGAGTTATGAGTTGGATTATCCTCACAGCAGTCCAGACACATCCATATGTGCTCAGATTCTCAATTCAACATATTCATCAACGTCATGCGGTTAAAAGTGCCAGTCTTGGTTAACAAGACTTCGTGTGCGTCCGGTGTGCTCTTCATGCTTGGCTGTGCCGATCTTAACTTACAATTCTCGTATTCTTAGCAGTGATGTGAACTTGTGGCCTCCAAAATCCTCGGAACGTCTTATCTCTCGAAGGGCATTGGCATTGTTTGAGTGATCCATAGGCTGGCCATCTTCAATTATTGCGGCACCTGCCAGTGGATCAGCTCTTTCATTACCAAAAACACCTGCATGCCTTGGGACGAATATGAAGGTAACTGCACAAACAGGAGAGTTTTGCAATGACTCAATCCACTGTCTGCGTAACCAGCTTGCCTAAGCCTGCCGGATCATGTTCAAAGAACCACTCGGCACACACACATGGGAATAGTCCTGCTATTCTAACCGAATGAAAGCTTGTGTCAACGCCATCACCTCCATCGTCATGCTGCTGGTAGTCATTGAGGAGGCACCACAGGCTTCTTCAACTCTTCTGCCTGAAAAGCGAGCTGTAAATCCCCAAGCACTCGTATAACTGACCAGTCTGTGAAGATCACCACATCTGTCTCATCTGACTTGTCACTGATAAGCTCGCTGACCTTGGCGTTGACAGCAATGGGATTCCTCTCCTGACAACTTCTGTCAAGCGTGACGACACAGGAGAATGTGAAATTGTGCGCTTTAGGCACTGGTATCCATACCTCACCTGGATGGATACCTGTAAGGCTGCAGACCTGCATGATGTCAAATTCTACCTTACCCAGCCATGATTTGCCTCTTTTATGTCTCTTGCCTTTTTTCCTGAAGAGCATGCGGTGCAAAATTGCTTCAGATCTGAGCTTATCTTGAGGTATGCATGAGCCCTCCAGATCTTGATCCTGTAGTTCATGGGAGGGAAGTGAAGACCTCACAAATGGACAGGAACTTAGAAACCATAACAGCTGCCTCTTGATTTTGTTTCCTGAGCTAATTAAAGCCAGTGATGAAGTTCCTCCTCTGCATAGCACAATGCCTGGGCAGTATTGTAGAGACCATGTGTTGCCCATGCAAAATTATCCCTCTCTCGGCCTGCCCTGTTTACTCCAAAGGAAAGGTAACATCAATGCCTTTGGAACAAAGCATCACTAACCACTATACCACCACTATAATGACATGTGCCTGATATTCTAGTGATCAATATCTCGCTTGTCTCTACATCTGAGGTTTGAGCTTTCAAGTGTAGCAGCATTTCACTTGAACATATAAAACAGTATATCTGAATTCATGTTATGTTATCACAATCGATGTCTCTGCACATTGAGCATTTGCATGCGTGCTCAGTTTTCTGATGCAGCAGCCACTCCAAAGTACTTCTACTAATTGTTCCCATGAGAAGCTGGTTAAATTGTCTCCGCCTCGAAGGCAGCAGAGAAGTGCTTCACCATGCTTTACTCCCATGTCACACAATCGTGTTAGTGTCAGGGATTTCTTATTATTCACTAGCCAAGTCAGTACAGCATTGACGATATCTGCTCTGTCCATGCTTCTTCCCACATGCCTTAGTACAGTGCTTGCCATTTGTTGCGCTCGCTCATTTTCCTTTACGCCCGCATGACCAGGTGTGTAGATCCAGGTGAGGGTATGAATTCGTTTAACATCTTCATCATTTGCCTAGCCGACTGGCATGGGCGATCATGCCTCTCCATAATCTGCGACCTTCAGCAGCATGTATTACTTCATATACTGACATCTTTCTATGTCATGGCAAAATTCTGTCAAGAATCATATCGCATTGTCTTCCTATCTCCTTTTCCACAGATATTTCCATTGGTCACAACATGTTCCATTTTCCTTCTCATAACATGACTGATGAGTTATCTTCAAGCCATTGACTCTTTCAAAACATCTGGGTTGCTCTGTTTAGCTGTCCAGGGAATTCTCAGAATTTTTCAGTAAAACCACATCTCTGAGGCCTCAATAATTTATATTGTGTATGCAAGTCAGTTATCTTAATGTCACTTAACACAACTGGAAAGGGAGGGGGGGGGGGGGGTCAGTGATCCTGAAACCCAATGTTCTGATTATAAAAAAAATGTTTCTTATTTAAGCAGGTTTTGCTAAATACAATGGATCATCTTGGGGTGTGATACCTATGTTTCTTATTGATGTATATAAAACACTCTCATCTGAAAAGATGTCAGCAGCTACTCACAAGTAAAATAAAAGATCGTAAGGTCATTTTTCATTTTTTTAAAAAACATTATAAGTATCTTTACTGCCTGTATTTACCGCTTTTATGGCAGTGTAGGGTCAAGAACCTGAGAATTTAAGGCTGTATGTGTCTAATGCAGCCACCAACAAATTTGCAGGTTAGGATTTTTATTTTTGCCTCCGACAGCAAAAATCCATCCATTACCAGGAATTAAATCCGGTGCTCCTGCATGAAGATCAGTACTTTAACCACTTAGTCAGCAATTTCTGTGAATGTTGACCTCTTTGAAAAATTTGTTTAACATTCTTGTGACATGTTAGCTGTCTTTCAGTAGTATTTTCAACACTGGGAGGTGTTGCAGTGTAACAGATGTGTGAGAATTTAACCTATGCTGTTGTTTTTTTTCCCCTAGGCCATTCCATATTCTAGAGACTACAAGAGAAAGTATGAGTACTTCAGATCAAAAGCTACGAAAACCAGTAAGTTATAACTTTTAACAAGTCATACATTTTGTCAGGAAACTGAATTTTATTTAAAGGAAGTTATAGGTTAAAAACCAACCTCATATCACTCAGGACATGTTCATGAGTGCCCCGTCCCCATCTTCAGCAGCAAGCGCCAAGTTCCAGTTCTGATGGTACATGTAGCCATCTAATTGTATGTCCATCTCATCTATTTCCTGAATCTTTAGTCTGTGCCAGATCCTCACTCCTCACTGCACTATTATCTTTAGACCATGTTGATCTGCTTGTGCCTCCACACTGTTTACTTGCTTTCAAAGACCCCTCACAGCATCTAGGTTATCATGCATCAGTTTACCACCGAGTAGTTCAGAACCGGCCAATCTGTCTGCCTCTTCATTTCCCAACACACCAGCATGACCGGAAGAAAATATAACAAGGACGCTAACTGCCAGCAACCTCTGAAGCAACACTTGCCTCTCTGCATACCTCTCTCCAACTGGTAGTATGGTAGTCTTAGTTGCTCTCCAACTATCTATCTCATCATCCTATGTTAGTCAGTTACAATCATGATATAGGTATGCAGCTGGTTCTAAAGCCAGTGGAAGGCTGCAATGACCCCCTCCACCTCCATTCTCAAACTAAATGTTGTAGTATCATATAACAGACTTTGTTGCGCTAAGTGGCATCCATTCAGTTTTGCAATGACCCCTATACACTTCTTCTGCCTCTTAACACAGGGCCTTCTGTGTATATAATCACATCACCTGGGGCAGGAAATCATCATTTGTTGAACTTCTGATTCTACAACCTCACTGCCTAATGTGATTAGAACCTTACACAAATCTGATTGTTGCTCAGACACTTTGACCTATTTCTGTCCTCACCTAATATTCTCAAGCCTACACACGTCTAATTATGTCTTTAGCTTCCCCCATCCAAGACTTTCATCTTTTCAATCAGTGACTCTTAGCTCTACCTAGGGCTTCATGCAGGAGGTGTTTCTTGTCTGCGGCCACTCTGAGATATTACTTTGTAGCACTTTGATCCTATCTATAATTGTCAGTAGTGCAAGTGTATATCACATACTACTGAGGTATCACTTATGCATCCCAGAATTACCCTGATGGCTCCTTTTTTATATGTGTTCAAGTATATGTAATTACAATAGCATAGCCTAGATAAGTGGTAGATTCTATACTGCCTCTTGATTATTTCTCTATCCTGATAAAAAGATGTTAATTTTTGTTATCCATTTACACAAAGTTGCAGTATTTCTGACTTTCAGACACTTCTGGCTTCAGCGACATTGTTTTTACGCCTGGGCTTTCCTTCCATCTTCAACATATTCTGTGAATATTTTGTTGTGGGCAGGTTTTAAAAAATATCATCAATGCTGCAGCCTGTTTTTTTTTTTTTTTTTAAACCAACTTATTTTTATTTTTGTTAGCAAGAAAATTTTAATTTGCATTAAAGACACAACTGACCTATTTTTTTTTGCACTTATCTGGGAAGGCTAGCTCATCTTGGGCATCGCTTCATGAGCTGTATCATTACTGGAGGTGACTTATAAGCACAATATAGCTAAACATTAGGGACTGTCTTCAATAAAAAGCCAGTTTCTGCTGTTCCATGAATGAATCTTACCCATCATACAAGGGCATTACTTATGTTGATAAGTGTGCTAAATAGCCAGGATTCTAGTAACTGACTGTTTATAGTTGATTTGACATCTGTAAGTGTGTAAAACTTGATACTAAATGTTTCAGAGTGCCCTGCCAAACAAACTTGATATCAAAGTTACCAGAAGAAATGTGTTTGAAGACTCATTTAGAACAATTATGGGCATTAAAAATCCAGACATGCTCAAAACGAGGTAAGCTGGGAATGTTCATTTACTATAAACTTTTAATTTTATTGATATATTTTGAAAACAAGATGTCACATTTTAGTAACAATGCAGAGTAATTTTGTTCAGTCAGACTGGTTGTCTTGGATTCAGAATTTAAATAGCTGAATAACAATATGGAAAATAGTGCACCTATAAAATGTTAGTTGATGCATCGGCAACAAGTTGGACATAATATCTTCAAGTTATTCTGATTATATGTCAGTTGGCTGAAGATCTCTGCTCCATGGCGAACTAAAAGGCAGTAGGAATAAAAGTAGAGATAAGTTTACTTTTTATGTCTTCTCTTTTGTGTTCACTGGCGGGAAACTTAACGGAAAGTTCTGGTTGTGCATGTATATCTATTTACAGATCTGGTTTATTTTTATGCGGGCTGTTGGTTCCTCCCTGTCAGGCAGATGTACTCCAACTTTGAATGAAACATTGTTCCTTTCTGAGTCATTCAGCCCCCCCCCCCCCCCCCCCAGTTATCTGTTGATCTGTTTTTAGAATGGCCACTGTAAGATGTAGATAGGTCTTGACTGTATGAGTTCTGCACCTCTGCATCCCATGTTTTAATATAAATTGCATGTTTGTATAAGCAACAGGTCTGAAGGCATTGGCATGGAGAGGTGTCAGCACATGGACTGATACATGCTGTTGGAGATTGCAAGTTGGGGAGAGGCATGATCGCCCCTGCCAGTCAACAATACATGTGATGATGATGATTATAAGTAAGCACAAAAGCGGGCTTCTTTGTCAGGTACTTGTATTATTTTAATTTTCTCTTTCAGGTTGTGGATTGAGTTTGATGGAGAGATTGGACTGGACTATGGAGGAGTTGCACGTGAATGGTTTTACCTTCTGTCAAAAGAGATGTTTAACCCATATTATGGGTTGTTTGAATATTCTGCAACGTAAGCATTTCTAGTTTAATAATGATTATTCTGAAACATAACTTTAAGTCATTGATTATTAAATATTCTGCAACATAAGCATATGTAATTTTTGAGGTTTTAAGAAAATATTTGTTACTAAGCTACTTTATTTCTCTAAAGAAGTTGATATGCTATTGAAATCTACTTCTTCAACATTCCAAGCCCTTAATGTTCTTTGCTGCAGACATCGCCCGCCTCCATTCATCTCTCTGATTGGCCCTCATTTTCCACTTAGTACCTCTAAATGTTTGCAGGTTTGCCTGTAAATTATCTCTGTGCCATTGTCTTGTTCTGCCTTGTGGTCTGCTCCTTGTCAACTCTTTTGTACATGCAGTTTTTTTAATTTCTGTTAACTGCCATTCTCTCTACATTTGCAGTCTTTTAGCCGTCATGGTGCCAGTAATTTATAGCGATTTAAACAGATTATAAATTTTGTTGTTGCTTCTGTCTCCATTTTCTGCCAATTGTATCTTTGATGGGTTCATAAGATTTGTTGATCTGGCTTTAAATTCAGCTATATACACAAGTCGTAATTGTAACCGAATCACAGAGCATGTGGAAACATGTTTAGACTGGTGTGCTTTGTGAAGAGTGGCAAGCGTCACTTCAGAAGTCTCAGGTAGTTAGCATGCTTTGGATATTTTCCCTAAGAAATGAAGGTGAATTAGGAAATGAACATGCAGATAGACCGGCTGGTTCTGCACAACTTGGTGGTGATTCAATGCATGGCAAGCTAGGTGTTATAAGGGCCCTTTGGGGGTGAGTGAACAGTGAGGAGGCACAGATGGGTCATCATGGTCCTAAGAGAATGGTTCTGGGAGGAATAACTAGGGGATCAGATTGGTGATCAGCACTCAAGGGAAAGGTGAGATGGATGTACAATGAGACTGCTGTAGGTACCATTGGATTATAACTCTGCCCTTGCTGCTGAAGATGGGGACAGAGCGCTTAGGGGAATTTCCTGAGTCCTGTGATGTCGATTCTTGATTAAACATTATAGATTTGTTGAATTATCTGTTCTGAACAGTTTTTAGTAATATTTTCATCTCTCTTTTTTTTTCAACTCCGGTTTAAGAACCATTAGTCTTAGAGGTCTTTTATATTTTATGATTTGGTGTTATGAGATACTGCATTTTGTGTTAGCTGATGTTGTTGGGCATAGTTTACCTTTTTTTTTTTTTCAGATTGTATTCTAGATTGTATTTTTTCTGTTAGTATGTTGGAGCATTTTAAGTTTCTACCCAAGTACTTACCTGTTTCCGTTCTTTCATATTATCTGTTTGTATGTGGCTGGAGTTTTTACCATTTCTTATCTCATAAATACCATGCATTCTATCTTATCTTGATTGATAACTAGTCCTTATTTTGTTTACTGCATCCTTTAAATGAGTCAGTGTTTTCATGAGCCAGATGTTTTCACTGTCTGTAGATCATTCATTTTCTCACTACTATATCTGTTATCTGCATTTTCAAATATTCTTGTTTTTGCTGTAGCTATTGAAATAACTTCTTCTTCTTTGCCGGCTGTAAACTTCGGCGGAAAGTTCTGGTTGTTCATCCAACTCTGGATATTAGTCTTGTTCCAGAACCTGAGTGTTGCATGAACATATGCTTGACAGATCTGACTCACTTGTAAACATATTATTGGCTCCTTGCCTCTCACGCAGGTGCACTCTGACTCCGAAAGAAGCCTCCCCGTTAGTCGACTCTTACGGCATAGTTGTTGGGGTGGCAGTGGGACTGTTCTTGTTTTCCCCGTAATGGTGTCCCGGAACTTACACTGGGAATTGAAATTGTCAAGGAAGAATTTAATTATAAGATCTCTTTTCATGCCATGATGGTGCTAACCTTACGGGTTTTGTGTCTGTGAACAAATCAGCACAGTTCTTACTCAGGAATGTTGTCAGTATCATACTGACTGCCTTTACTTCAAGGAAATTTTCTGGTATCTTTTTTTTTTAGACTGAGTCAAAGTTGGAGGATGTCTATTCTTTACTACCATGGATTCCGAGGGATATGGGTACAGAGAACCAAAACAATAACTATTAAGAAAGGAGCTTAAGAAATTTGAGTGGTGTTAAGGTTATCAAAGAAAGCAACTCAATAGATACAGTGCAGACCTGTTGAGACTCCCTCGGGTGTGGCAAATTTCTGTTGTGAAGAATAATTCGTTTCTCCCCGGCAATTTTTCTTTCTTCAATTCTTATCTAAATAGGAGGAATCTCTGATAACAAAAACCAATTTCTTGAGTGCCTGTTGAGTTCTCTTTATCAGGTCTATGCTGTGTATAAAATAAAACAATAGTTCCATTCAGCTGCTAGGCCACAACATAAGATGTGGAGAGACCAGTTCTTTTCGTTATCACCTTGCCTTCCCTGAAAATGGCTTGGTATACAATCTTATGAGACTTCGTTGGTTTCAAAGCCATCCTGGTCAAAAACAGTAATCTTGACTCTTCCAGAAATTGGCCCACTATCTTGACAGGTAAGATGTTGAACCACTTGAGCTGCAGCAGCTCCTAATAGTACCTTGTTTCCTTAAAAAATAAGACCTTACCTGAAAATAAACACTAGAATCTTCTTAGCGGTCACTTGCAGCAGACTCATACAGAAAGTTCTGATTGCTCATCCACTTCTGGACTTTGGTAAAGCTCTTCGAGAACTTGAGTTTTGCAAGTACAGATCTGGCTTAATTTGTTTGTATACAACTGGTTCCTCGCCTCTCAGGCAGGTCACTCTTAACGTAACACTCTTACTTGGTCACTTTTTGCAACAGGCTTGTTAAGGGCAGTGGGTCAATCCATTTTTCCCCAAACCCCAAAATGGGGCCCCTGAATTCCACACGGGAAACCCAGCATGATTTTTTCAGATGCAGGATGTGAAGATGTCATTGCATAATTCTGTTTCTTCGATTACAGAAGGTATATTTTAAAGCAAGGAACAGTTGAGAACTTGAGGATAACTGGCAGAGATGATAGATAGAGAGCAGGGGGAAAGTTATGACATAAATGCCTTAAATATAATGGTCACATGCGGGGTGCAGAACAGCAGTGCTGACCTGATTCTTGATTCTGTTGATCATGTAGGATGATGAATCATGAAGTTAGGCTTAATGGCTCATGTTGGTGACATTTTCAGGAAATGGGGACACATAAATGTAGTTTTTTTTCTCCTTTCATTGAAAAGGGGCAGAGTTTGGGAACCAATGATTTCAAGTAATCACAAGCTGGTCCTGAAAGAGTTCAGTTATTATACTGTTTAAATAATGCTCATCTTTACTGTTTATTTTAATTCTCCTTCTTCAATGTTCTTCGGCTGTAAACTCTGGTGGAGTGTCCTGACTGTTTGTTTGGGTCTTGTGCCAGGGACTGAGTTGTGCGTGTACATTTTTTTTTTACTGACTTCTTTGTGTGGTTGTTCCTTGTTGCTTCGGCAGATGCAATCCAATTTTGAATGAAGCCTCTAAATAGTTGACTCGTACGACAAGCTTGTTGGGGAGGCAGTGGGTCTGTTCTTGTTCCCCCCCCCCCCCCCCCCAATAGTGCCCGGAACCCACACATAATTCAATATTTTTTGTTTTCTTTAGTCTAGTTCTTGATTATCTTTCACAGGGACAATTATACCCTTCAGATCAACGCTCTATCAGGTATTTTAAATGAGGACCATCTGACATACTTTGAATTTATTGGTCGAGTTGCTGGCATGGCAGTTTTCCATGGAAAGCTGTTAGATGGTAAGTTTTACTTGCAACTCTACTTTCATATTATGAGATTTGCTTATACATCTTCTTTGCAGGACTATTTTTCAATGCACCAGATAAGTAGACTGTAGTAAAGGATTTGATATTTTTTATTTTTAAAGTATTTAGATGGTAAGATGTGTGTAAGGTTGTTTGTGAAATCAGCAACGGCAATGAAAGTTAGATAATTTTAAGTGACACTATAAAACTCAAAATATTAAAGTATGAAAATTAATATATGATTATCAAACATCTGCATTTACAAAGCACTTTATAAATATTTGCTTTTATATTCTTCTGAAGCAGACTAATTATATTCTCTACTCCTTCCAACACAAGCTGATTGTACTTTTTGTTCCTTCTGAAGTAGATAATTGTAATATCTATTCCTTCTAAAGCAGACTGATTGTACTTCCTGCTTTTCATTCAGAGATGCCACTATATAGTGATCGGTGCACTGGCTTACCAAGACAATGGAACTGGAACATACCATCCTACCTCTTATACGGTAGACTAGTATTATTGATCACGCAATAGCTTTTGATTGAGACAGACACGCTGACATTTTAAAAATGCTTACACGTCTGCAAATTGATGGAAAAGATCTTAGACTGATTAAGAACACATACTGGAAACAACATGCTGCTATAACAATCCTAAATGAAGAAGGTCATTACCAGTGGAAAGAAAATTAACCACCTGTGAGATTAGATGTTTGAGAATGGCTGTGAAGAAAACCAGAAGAGATTGAGTGAGAAATGACATGATCACAAGAACTGTTGCAACAATGCCCATGGTCAAATTTATTCTTCTTCTTCTTCGTCTTCTTCACGTTCACCGGCTGTAAACTCCGGCGGAAAGTTCTGGTTGTTCGTCCACTTCTGGACTGCAGTCCTGTTCCAGAACCTGAGTGTTGTGTGCGCATCAGTTTTACAGATCTGACTCATGTGTATGCAGACTGTTGGTTCCTTGCCTCTCAGCCAGATGCACTCCGACTTTGAAGGAAGCTCCCAAATAGTCGACATGCTTTTGGGTAGCCAGTGGGTGTATTCCTGTTTTCCCTATAATTGGGCCCCGCAACCCACACAAGGATCAAATCTTTTTAGAAACAAAGAATGAATTGGTTTGGCCATCTAATGAGAATGAAATCAACGATGTGAGCAGCCAGAGCGTGCAACCTAAAAATTGAAACAATGAGAGGCAGGGGAAGACCGAGAAGAAGATGGATAGAAGGAGTCACTGACACCTTAAGACTGCACAACATCACGGCATATCAAGCGACTGAGCACGCCCTGGCTCAACTGCCAATCGTCTGATAAACTGCGACACCTAGCAGTATATGCAGATATTGACAAAAGAAAGAAGATAACCAGTCAATTGAAAGAAGTGTGCGCTGATGATAAGTAATGTTTTCAGATCATTTTTCCTTTATAGCGAAAATATTCTGAAACATATAAAAGATACAAAAATAAAGCTAAAGGTCATCGCTGAAGAGAAAGAAATGCCACAGTTTGAAACACATGCGATGGGCAAAGTTATTAAGCTAGTGAATTGATACAACTGTATTTGAACAGTCATAACATGTGAAGCAAGATGCCTTGCAGAAAGCCATGGTAAAAGCAGTCTTTAGCAAGGTGCAAATAAATAATACTTACCTTCTTTTTCTTAGCGTTCACCTGCTGTAAACTTCTGGTTGTTTCTCCACTTCTGGACTTTCATCTTCTTCCAGAATTTGAGTTTTGCACATTCAACAGATCTAGATTATTTGTATACAGACTGTGGGTTCCTAGCCTCTCAAGTGGACGTACTCTCAACTCAAAGAAAATACCCCTAATTAGCCGCCTTTTATGCCGTGCTTGTTGTTTTTGGGATGCAGTCAGACTGTTCTTCCAAATGGGCCCCCTAGAACCCACACAAGATGTTCTTAACCAAATAGCATTTCTGCATTATTTGCAAATGAGTTTATTATGATGTAAATCATAGGAATGAATGAATAAATCAAGAACTGACATTACTGCACTTGGTACATTCCCCTCAGGTGCATAATCTTCTTCCCTAGTGCTCAACCAAGAGTTGACGTGCTAATATAATAGTACCAGTATGAAATTAAAAGTCCGCATGTGTTTAACCCTCAGTGTTGAATATCTCCCAAAACCTCTGCCCCCCCCCCCCCCCCTCTCCCCTTGAATAAGTCTGTCAGTGTTTGGATTCTCTGTCTGTTCTGTTCCATCTGATCCCAGAGAGACTTCACTCAGTCTGCTTTATATTAAAGTAGCTCAGTGCTCAGAAGAGCGGCAACAGACAGTTTATCAGCCTGCTTATCATCCTGGACATAAAATCAATGATCTGCCCCTGATCTGAGTGGTGGAAACTGCTCTTCGCTTAGAACACCAGTTTCAATTTCCAAAGCATGTTCTGTGAGTCTGTTACAACATATCAGGCTGTGCTGCTCTCAAGCCATCGAAAAGCTACCGTTACTGCCTCAATCTCCATTCTCATACTGAAAGTTTGAACATTGTAGAGATGCTTTCTGTTTTCAAACAGTGCTGATTCACCTTTGCAATAAAACCCCACCCAATCTTCTTACCTCTTACTGCAGACTCATCTGTGTATATAATGGTATCACCTAGGCGTGAATTTCCATTGATCAGCTCTTGCACCTCTGTCTCTGTTTCACCAGCTATCCATTCCCAACACCCTCGGTCCAAGGTAACTATCACTTTGTGCAAGTCTGTTTTGCTGTGTGACACTATGATATATGAATATATTCTGTAAATAACTAGAAGATATATTGCAGTCGTTAGATACTTATCAGTTTAAATGTGGCAGTAATATTACTTTAGTTCAGTCAGTTAATTGATTCTGGAGTGAAGTGATGTAACAGGTAAAACAAATGAAGAGAAAATGATCAGTTGTTTTTATCTGTTTTTCAGCAGAAAAGTAATTAAACCATTACATGGTGCCTACGAAGAAATATTCAATCAATATTAAAAATAAAAGGTTTATTGAACAAGTACATTTGTATCTCCCCAGCATTTTTCATTCGGCCCTTCTACAAGATGATGTTGAGGAAAGCAATTACACTCAACGACATGGAGTCTGTGGTAAGTCATTCAGGAATTTGGTTTGTATTTATGTTACATCACATTCCCCCCCTCCCCCACTTACTATTATAAACTGTTAGTTTCTCTACATCACCACTGAAATAGATATTTTTCAACGTCTCATCTTTGCATCATCCGTGGCTAAGGCGTTGCGAGTCTGACTCGTAATCCATCATACCGCAATCGAAACCCACTGCGGACTGCGTGGATTTTTATCGTGGTATGGGACGTCGCAGGTCGACCAAGCCTCAAATGGGTACCAGGATGGTTGTCCTGGGGAAGTAAAGACGGCGGGCATAATGCTGACCACATTACCCACCGAGTGCCGATTGGTCTGTAAAAATATGGGTGCTCTTCCCATATGCCCAATGCGCTTAAGGAAAGCAAAGTAAGAATAAGATCTTTCTGGTGCATAGGACATATAGTTGTGGGACTATATTTTGTATAGACCAATTCAGTCATATATTCCAACTGATGTTTTCATGATTGCCTCTAAATATTTTAGTTCATTGACTTTAGTAA